GCCATGAAAAGGCTCAAGCCAAACACAGAACAGGCTCTTGGAGAAGCAGCGCAAGAAAGAGGAGGCCGACGCAGCACGACGAGCTGCGGAGGAGAGGATGAAGGCCAGGCCGCATACTGTCAAAACTTTTTTTGGATTTCGACTTGTGGGTCGTCAAAGCCGCTCCAAGTAGAATCTGTGAGTCGAAGAAGCAGGCTCTGCTTAGGTCTGGGTCTTCCGTTCTTAGGCCTCCAGATGCAAAAAGACGGGGTTTGGGCTTGATAGCATTGAGATGTTCGGCACAGGTGTGCTCACGGATCCAAGTGGCGCATGATTTGCCAGCCTTCCTTTTCCAGAACTGTTGGACAAAGACAGTAAGTTTCGGCCATATGAGCCATGAAGAGGGGATAGCATCAGTGCCACAAAGACGACATCGTTGGCATCTTGCTTGCCTTCAACAGCGACTACCATGATCAAGGCAAGACGTTGCCGGGCGTGGTGCACGATGCAGAGAAGCTCGAATCCTGCGAGTTTTGCCAAGCAGCCCAGTCCAAACGTCGTCGGGACAACTTGACAATGGAGCAAACTAGACGATGCCTGGAGGAGTGGTGTCAAGACTGGAAGGAGGGTGGTATGGTCATGTTTGTCTTCTTCGGTCATGGCGCATACTTTGCGGAGAAGTGTACTCAGTCCATGGAGTCCGTCGATGGTTGGCCCATCGATCTCATGAACTTCAGGGATTACGTCCAGAATTTGAGAAGGATCAACTTTTGCGCCTTCTTCGCTTGCTGCCAAGACGAGGCAAGGGAGCTCCACCAAGTCCAAGAGCTATTTCCTTCAGCATCGCCTATTCAACGGACTTTGGGTTGTCAAACGCTCTTTCACTCTGCTTGCCGGCCCGGCCAGAACATGTTTGATGCACCGGTGGCTAACTCGAAGTGTGTGACTGAGTACGCCGACTGCTTGGCGAAAATTCTTTGCAACGGCAAGTGCGTGAGCCAGATTCCGTTATACTTGCAAGAGAAGGTGCGCGACAAAACCTGCATGCAGCAGCACGCGAAGTATGTAAATTCCTTCGTGATTGATTGCACAATTTGGGACGATGGAGAACAGATGCCATCTTCTTTGAGTTCTTTCTCAGCAAAGGGGTGTGCACGAAGCGACCAACCACTTGTACGAGACGTGCATGGACGGAATCCGGAGAGCAGCTCGTGCTCACAGACTTCGGTGACAGATGCTGAGGAAGCTGCCGCAGAAGATACAGAACTCGAGGTGCAAGCCGCCTGTGCGCAGAAGGCAGAAGGACGACTACGTCGGCCACGAAGGCTTCGCCAAAGAAATTTAAAGAGACGGCCTGCCTTTTGTGTCCAAACACCCAGGGTGACATTGAAATTCTGCTTGAAACAAAGGTTCATCGGCATGTTCATCCTTGTAGTGACCGGCAGCTTCGTTGGCATGACCTACCAAGAGACCGGCATTTTCCGACAGAAGAATTTGCTGCTCAAGCGCTACATAGAGCTGGAGGAGCAGCAATGGGTTTTGCAGCAAATCGACGTCGCCAAGACATTCTGCAGTCTAGGGATTGCCTACAGAGATCTCGGACATCACCAGAAGCAGAAGGCACTACTGAGTCAGAGTCACTACTGGAGCACAGCTTGAGGATCAAGGAGGAGGAGCACTACGGCTTGGAGCACCACGAAGTGGCCGTGACGCTCAGCAATCTAGGCAATGCATGCGGATCTCTCCGAAACCACCAGAAGCAACCTTTAACTTTACCGGTCATCTATCACAGAACCGAGCTAATTGCAAGACCTTTGTTTCGGTGCAGTCCGGTATGCCTGCCGGGGTGTGTAGACATGTCTCCACGATCTTCTTCGTAACACCGCACAACCATATTCCATCTAGCCATGTTTAGGGATGTTAAGTATGGTGAATATTACACAGTATGTATATATATATATACATATATATATATATGGATATGGACGAGGCCTGCAGCTTCAGAGGAGGGAAAATGTCCTTCTTCCTACCATGGGGCAGCTTCGTTGTGGCATGGTTCAGGTTAGTAAGTGTTCTGAATTTAGGCGCTTCGCAATCCAGTGCTGAATGTATTGGGTGTTGGGCTTTGTGCTGCCTGTCGGGCCAGGATCAGAAGAAGAAGAAGCAAGAGGAAAAGGGCAACAAGGAGCCACTGGGTTTCCCGTCCAAGTCTAGCTGTTGCGGTATTTCTGAAGAGCACCTCAGCCTGGCACAGCATGGTCCAAGTTCGAAATCGACAGTGAGGTTAGCACGAGGCCCGCATGTCCCCTCCTAGATGTCCTTGCCACGAAGCCATTGTGTACAACTGAACCCGTGGGTGAGGGTTTAACTGGCTTCTAACACGCCGTCTCAACTGAGGTTTGTTCCATGGTCTATAGACTCTAGACTTTTGGAGTCACTTTCTGAAGGGTTTTGCCGCACTTGCCGGAAAGTCCAACCCAAAGCTTGTATGCTACACTACATGACTACATGTAAAACCCAAAGCCGTAGAAATCCACTCCGCACCGAGCTGCTCAAAGCTTCGCCTGCTCGGGAGTTGAAGAGGAACATCTTCAGGCGATGAAGGAGATGGGAGAGGCGGGAGTCTTTCTCCAATCGGGGGCTTGCAATAGGTCGACATGGCATCAGGATAGCTTTGCCAATAATGCGGACCCTTTTGGACAGTGCAAGAGATTACTGTCCTTCGTTTCCTTCGTTGGCGGAAATTACGAACGGCTCAATCGGCCTTCAAGGCATCGACCGAGCTGGAGACCATTGAGGGTTGGACAACTTGTTGGTGTTCGTAGGGTCTTGTAGTTCGTATACTTGCTCTGTGGCGCCGCAGGAGCAATGTATTTTCGTCCAGATTACTACAAGTGCCTTGAGTTTCATTGTCAGGTTTTTGGATTGTCAGATCCCGTCGAACAATCGCACGGCGCTTCTCTGCAACTGTACGTCTTGGCCAAGAGGCCCTAAACCCGATATCTATAGAGCCAAATCAATCCACTGCCCGGCGGCCACAGGAACTGAAAAAGGCCAAAGCTGCTCTTTTGGTCGCACTTTAGTAGGAATTGAGCTGCACAGAGATGATGGCGGGTTTTGGAAGGGCTGCCAATCTACCCGAAGTTCAACGCTAAAAATACATGCAAGGCCGCAACAATCCATGGGGTCACAAATCCGGCACCATAATTTGGATCCCCTTCGGGTTTAAGAAGATCAGTGATATCGGTCTCCGGGTGCTGGTTCGGTGACACTCGCCTTCTTGCACTTTGAGGGCTTGGTTTTGGGAGTTTCAAGGCTTGAGGCTTTTCTGTGGAGCTCGGAGTTCAGGGCTCTGGCTTTCCTTTGGCTTGCTTACCATCTGTGGATCATGGGGACATCATTGGGAAACTGCCCCGGAGCCTGGTTCGCGATCTCCTTTGTCGCGTGATTGAATTACGAAGTAGTGATCGATTCTACGTTGGGTGTAGGGTGACGGGTACAGTAGGGAGCGTAGTTACAAGATGACCCTTCAAGTCATCAGCTCTTTGAGGGAAGAGCATGCTTTGCCAAGGCCGCAAAGGATGCCGAAACGCAAGCATCGCAGATGAGGACGCGTGGACGGGTCGAGCGCTTAAGAATTTTGGGTCGAAAGCTTGAGGGTTTAGGGAAAATTTAGCTGTTTTGAAGAGTATAGATTCACAGTCACGTACTGGAGTGTATAGGGTCAAAAAGCCCGCTTTGCGTTTTGCATCCCTTGCACCCTTGCGCCAGGGCCCAGGGTAGGGGTTGGGGCTCGCGCGGATTTGCAATTGGCAGCATTTACGGGGGTGGGAGGCAGCATCAGATGCATCAGTAGACCTTCGTTTCTTGTTTAAGGCTCGCAAGCCTCACCAGAATTTGCATCCCGAACTCGAGGCTACGGCTACTACAGATGAGACAGAATCACGCTGGACAGAAGATGACGCGACCCAGAATCTTTATCATGTGTGTGTATGTGTATGTATATACACACAGGCTACCTGCCACGTTGCATTCAGTACTCGCCAGAAACTTGCGACAACCGGAAGCATATCCATACATACACACACACACACAGACACATGAGAGATATATGAGCCACAACTCCTAAACCCCCCAACCCCTAAACCCTATTAGCCCTAAGCCCTAAACCCTAGTTACCCTAGTTACGAAGAACAAAAGTTTGCGCCTTTGCAGGATCAAGCTCGAGCAGGCCGAAGCAGGGGCCAAGTCAGCCGAGAAGGCACGCCGAGCCTTCCCAGAGGGATCCGTGAATGGGAGCGGAAGGGCAAAATTCATACCTAAATCTTCATATGGTCCTATATATACCTGAAGCCAGTGTATATCTGAGGTGGTAGATATTCAGGAGCTTTGTTGGGTGGACGATTCGCCAGGGGTTTCAGTTGCTTCCAGAGGCGGCATGGACGAACTGTCCGGAGAGCCAGGGAGGCACAGAAGGGATAAAGGCTTAGGTGGTGAAGTTATGAAGGTCGGAGTACAATACATTCGTTTGATTGTGGGTTGACTTCAAGTTCGTTGACTTCCACCTGCTAGGAGGTAGGTAGCGGAGCGTCAGCGATGTCTTAGCTTTTGGAAGCCTCGATTCCTTCCGCAAGGCAACACCCATGGAGCTAAATATGCCTAACCTCGCAAAACCGTTGCCTGAACGCCGACACCCTCCTCTGACTTGTGCCGGCCGTTGATTTGGCTCAGCCTCTGTGACGGGGTTTCACTACACTCATGAACCAGCAAGTTTCAACTTCAAGATTCTGGCAGACGAAGTGATCTTTTTAAGGGGACACGCTTTCTTGGTCGTAAGCGGCAGCTTGCCTTGCGGTGGGATCCATGTGTGCAAGGTGTCGAAGGCTGTAGCACTAAACCGGCACCCTAAACCCCCAGATACGCTGAACTTCCTAAGCATTGTGTTTCCAGCCTCTGGCCCAAAATTAAAGGCCAATTGTCAGGTTTCTGAGTTTCGCGGCATCATGTATTTCTACGTCTGCATGGCAGATGACTGCTCAGCTCGCTTTTCAAAGTGGACTGCTGCGCTTGATCACATGCGCGCCTGTGACTCCTACCAAAGGCCTGGCGGCCTCCTGGGTTGACGCGGGGGGTTGAGGGTCTAGGAACCCACCAGGAACCGTAAACCCTAATTCGACTGGCACGGGAACCCAGGAACTTGAACATCGAAGACCATCAACATGGCTGACATTTATGCCAGAACCGCAAAAAACCGTTGCTGAAGATGAGACTTTGAGAAGCCACCATCCTACACCTGATCTCAATGAGTACGAGATCTGGTGGGAACCGAGTTAGGTTTTCGGCCCCTCCCCCTTCCAACATCCCCCATCTTGAGCAAACACTTCTCAACAGCATCCCCATAAGACAGGACTCCTGCACCCCTTGTTCTAAAGCTCTAGGAAAACTCTCCTCTTTTCTTTGAGAGAATGGAACCCTATAGAGATGCCAAAACCCAACCCTTGAATCAAGGAATAGACCTTGAATCATACCAGGGTTCCTATCATATACTGCTTTAAGGTGTATACCGTAAATCATATTAGGGATCCTATATTATATCATAAAGGGTATACAGGGATCTTGGAATCTCTGGAATCTGCCCGTCCTCCAGGTTGGTAAAAGAGGGTGGCGCCCCGAAGAAGCCCAAAGTCGCAGCATCAAGAGAGAAGCTGGGCTCCGGCCAAGGAACCCAAAGACTATTACTCTTACAAGTTCGGGAGATGTCTAAGTTTGCATTTTTTTCCAATTATACGGATAGTCAGTTAGGGAACTTAGAATATTTAAGGGTGATGCTTTTCAAGCCGCCAGTGACATGCTTATCCGTTTGCGGGGGTGCATGTTGGGTTGGTGCTTCGGCTACCCATTATGTTATTGGTTTAGTGCGGAACCCTACCTCTGAGTTGTTTGGGCGGTTGAACTCGGCGCATTGTGTAGTTTAAGCTGCCACAAGAGGCTAGAGGGAAAGCCTGGGGTGTGGTTTCGGCTTGGAAGCTTTGTGGTTTGGGCTCTTGCTAATTCTGGAAGCTTAGTTTAAGTTACCCATTGCAATCTGGCCTTGCCTGGGGTGCTGTGGAGGGTTCATAAGGGATGTGTGTCGATCTTTAGGTTAAGCCGCCTATGATACTCAGCAGGTTCTTGATAGGGAACTCTAGTAGCTTAAGTTGCCATACGGATGAAGGCAAAAGCTCAATCCATGATTCACGTCGTATCGCTGCAAGCTACACAAGAGCACCACTGCCCTGGTTCTTGCCCAAGCAACTTCGTTTTGGTGCTAGCTTTTCACGAGGTGGCTTTGATAGGGGTATATAGTTTTTTTGCCTAGGGTGTACTCCTGCGTCTATCATGGTAATTCGAGCTTAAGTTCCCTGAAGCTTTGAAGCACACGTAAATCTGGTATTGCAGCCTACAGCTCGCCACAAACTCTTCGAGCCCTGTGTAAAAAAATCCTGAACCCTGTCTCAAAAGACTTCAACCTTACATTAAAGAAGCATTTCAAAAGAACTCAACCCCTAGAAACCCTGAACTTTTAGAGACTCTTGATTTCCTAGAAAAGAGCCCAGGAAGGCGCAACGAGTTGAGCCGAAGCCAGAACTGGACTTTACGCAGGATCCCTTCCACGGCGTCCTAAAGGTCAAGGCTTCTTCAGGGCACTTTCTGGGCTTTACAGGGCTTATAACATTCAGTTTCGGGGTTCGGGTTTAGAGTTCAGGAGTTCAGCGTGTAGGGTTTAGGGGTTGTGCGGTCTTATAAAGGCCTTAGGCCTTATAAGCGGTTCAGGCCAGCACGGTCTTATAACTTTCGGATTGCGGTTGGAACTTGTGATTTCAGAATTGTGGTCGAATACACTCAGATAAAGACAGACTTGGCAAGGTGTTGGGGTCTCTGGGTTTAGGAAAGCGTAAGTTCAGGCTATAGAGATCTAGGCTTATGGTTGGGGGCTTTAGGTTCGGGTTGATATGACCTACGGTTCAGGGCTGATCATGCCCACGGCGCAGAGCAGAACTTTCACAGGGTTTATCGGACTTGCCGGGGTTTAAAGTCTTAAGTCTTCTTGGGGCTTGGGGCTTTTGCAAGGTTTTGGGTCGAGGTGCCTCCCGACGAGCCGGAGATCGCTGCCGTTTTCAGACAGTGTTGGGAGGACTTTCCTGAGAAGATGCTGGGCTCCAGAAGAAAAAACGGAGTCCGAAAAGTAATTAATACAAGTTGTCCGCAGGATTCCCGTAAGCGTAGCTTGCTACGACTTTTCCCCAAAGCGTATCGAAATTGTCAAGCCCCATACACTGTGTAGGGTAGGTTTGGATCTTTCCTGTTCAAAGGAAAATGCCAATCGTTAGAGAGGGGATTGATATCACTGCCGTAGAACCTTCAAAGCTACTGCAGTACACACGCTGCAGCAGTCCTTTCTGAATGATTAGCCGCCCCCAAAGAACACATGTCAAATTCGAGTAAAAAAGACTCGTATATTGGGATGCTTGCGATCTCAGGAGCGACTATCGCGGCTTTTGGAAGCATGCGCTGGAGCATGTCAAGGAGCTGTATGGCGTCTCCTTCCAGTCCTTCGGCCACGGCAAGCTGCCGCGCTTCCTGAAGAAGCACAAAATCGCTCAGGAAGTCTAAACTCTAAATCCTTTAGGCCCTAACCTAAGCCCCAAACCCTAAACCCCTGAACCGCCTAAACCCTAAACCCCTAAACCCTGAACCCCTGAGGAAGTCTTCCGAAACCGGCGGAAATGCGGGACACCGACTCAGGACTCGATGGGTCAAGCAATGGGAGACAAAAGGAACCCTGAAGCCCCTTAAAGGCCCTTTAAATTGGGGGGTTTACGGTTTAGAGCTTCGGGGTGTAATTAGGGTTTAAGGGTTTAGGGTTTTAGCGGTTAGGGAGCTGTAAACTCCGTAAACGATAGTAGACTCTGAAATCCTCGTACCGCCTTGCATCATAGCCCTTGAGCCCTTCATTTTTGTATCAAGCTTCAATCCCACCTGCGAGTCGCAGCCAGAATTCTGAAAAGCCCCCGGCCTCCCAACCCTAAACTAAAGCCCCAAGCATGAATAGATTATGCTTTAAGCCCGGCACCCGAGCCACGCAACCCTATGCTCTAAGCCTCAAGCCCCAAACCCTGACAAGGACTCTCTTCCGGAGTCAGAGGAGGAGGAACTGAGGCCAGACACCTCAGAGGACGGCCCGAAGTCCTCGCCACCAGGTCCTCCAAGGACCAGAGAAGCGAGTCCACTGCAAAGTGCGCCCAAGGGCCCTAAGGGCTTTCAGGCGTTTAGCCAGGGTCCGCCCTAAGACCTTGATAAATTTATGGGGGTACCCGTTTGAAAGCCCTACCCCCCAAATCCTACACCCCAATCCCCAAAGCCTATGTGAACCCTAAACACCCCTTGAAAAGAAAGACCGCGCCAAGATTTCAAGAGGAGCTCCGAGGCTCCGTTCGAGCCGTCCGACGCTTCCGGGGCTCCGGGGCCCATGCTTCCAAGCAAAGCTCCCGGGCACGGCGCCTCGGCAAAACAGGGGCTCCACATAGAACATGTTCATATAGACTTTAGACTCGAAGTGTAGGTACTCTTTGTACACTTGGACTCGTTCTTGAACCCTAGAGGCATCATTTTCGTGAGGGAATAGTAGTCTGCAAGCCCAGCCTGTGAGAAGGAAGGGGCCGTGGCTTGTCTGGGTTCAGGGTTGTTTAGGGCTTTGGGTTTAGGGTTTTGGGTTTAAAGGGTTTGGGGTCTTGGGCTTGTGGGTTTGGGGGAGAAGGGTTTCGCGCCTCGGAATCAAAGGATCGTGTTGCTTTCCAGCTTAATTTGATTGAGACATTTGGAATTTGGGTTTAGATAGTGTTCAAAGGCTTTAGGAGAAGGATTCAGGTCTGAGCGCTCCGAAGCTCTTCAAACGGGGCCTTTGTCGAGGACTTCTGCGGGAATTGCAAGAAAATATGCCTATAGCTGCCTCTTCGAAATCTCTGAGACAGCCAAGGGACCCTTTACAGCCCCTGGGTCCCAGGTTCTCATCCTTACGCCAGACCGAAGCCTTCCGTGGCTCCGTCTGCTTCGGTCTCACATGAGGGGCCCTTACCAGGGCTTTGGGGCTAGTTGGGGTAGGCTCCGTGTTGAAGGGGCATCTTCAACCGGACGAGCCGGCTGCGAGGAAAAGTCGCTGTTCTGCTCGAGACTCTGCACGGAGAGCTTCCGAATCCCCTCCTTGCCCTACCTCGCCACAAGTATGGACAAAAAGGACCCTACTTATGGGGGCTCTAAAGTACAAGGAATACCCCCGGGTTGGTTCGCTGCTTTTCTTGGGGCTCCCAGGCTCTTGCAGTTATGTCCACCAGGGGCTTAAGAGGCCTGGTACGGTCTCGGGTTTAGGGTTTAGGTTTTGGAGTTTAGGGTCCTGATCCTAAATCATCTGCAATCCCAAACCAATTGCCTTGATTGCGGAACCTTGAACTGCTGAACCCTGAACCTCGAAATCTGAGTCTTGGCGTGTGGTATTCAGGCATTTTTCCGTTTCGGAATCCCAAAATTCATCATCCCAACTCTTCGATGCGTCCTGTCTTCGAGGCTCGCTCGAATGCCGAGAAGAAGCTTTCCAGTGCCGAGCAGGCGAGGCCTGCTATCTATCTATCTATCTATTTATCTATCTATCTATTTATCTATCTACATACACACACATACATCTACACACATACGTACTTGTATAGGTCGTGCAGGCGCTGAGGGGGTTTTGGTGGGGCTTGCAGTTTCGGGTTAGGTCTCGAGAAGGTGTTGGTCACGTCAGGTTCCGGAAGACTTTAGGGCCTTTGGGTGTCTGGGGTTTGGGGCTTTGGGGGGTTTGGGGGCTTTGCGATTTCCGGTTTACTGGGGTTCTACCATTTGGCATCTCAGGTTCAGGGCTTTGGAGCTTTGGGGTTCTGGAGTCTTCAGCTTTGGTTTGGGCTTTAGGCTTCGCAATTTTCGGTGCCAAAGGTTCGTGCTTCCGGGATTTGAGCGTTCTATATAAGACGACCTTGATAAAGCCATGTTACTAGTCCCGAAATACCCAGAAGGCAGGTTTCGAGTTGGTTAGGACCTCTACATATATGGGGCAGTGCATTCCCTCAGTTGCGAGACCTTGTAGAACGACCCCCCCCATGTCGATTTACAAACTCAGTTTCCTGTCCCTTGGCTTGAGGCTCTTTGGTGCCGGGCTCAATAGAAATGGACATTATACTTCAGTGCTAGGCTATGAGGAGTACTATACGTGTAGTCTTTGTCCGGGCCCTAGTCTAATCAATTTCCTTCGCTTCTGCCATGGACCAATCCTGAATCCTGAAACTATAGCTCAATCTACTGATCCTCGGCAAGTCTCCACGCAGGAGCTTCGATCTCTGCGTAACGACCCGGTCTTTGACCAGGTGAACATGCTGCGCGACGACGCCCGGCGGATTTAAGGAAGATCTCCATGAGACCTCCGTATCACCCAGCACTGTTCAAACAGCAAACTTTCGGTACTTCGGCTTCGGTGGAGGTTCGCCATGCGTGCGCAAGTAGCGCATGCCGTCACTCGAAACAGCATGCTGCAATTCTCATTCATTAACCACCCGACGAGTGAACTCTACTGCGGTGAAAGTGTTACAGTATTTCGGATCTTCCAGCCGGCGTTGATTCAGCACGTGGATCCTGAAAGCTCCCGATAGCCTTGGGCATTCTCTTGCTTCAAGCGGACTTGAAAGGAACTTAGCCGAAAGACCTTGCTTGCCTGAAGGTTTGTATGATGGCCTCCCAGATGTATTTCCGTGTGGAGTTGAGAAATTGTACACTGGTTGTGCAAAAGGGGTTTCTTTTTGCTTCGGTTCGTTTCGTCCAGATCAGAAGACTCCCTGCTCTTGTCTTAAGTACCTTCACGCTTTAGAAAGGGCTCGGTTTGGATTTTATAGATGTGCTGACGTATAGCCCTACAACTGACGGCTTTGGGTAAAGGCTTCTGGGTTCAGGGCACGCCCAGCCCTCCTAACCCAGGGCTACATCCTGTGTGTTGACGATGTGCTTGTGTAGTGGGCCTGGTCTGAAGTAGGACCGAAGCTTGAATTTTGGAATACTATTGACTATGTGAGATATGATTATAAATATATAGTATTCTTGCACTTAGTATCATGATCGTGATTGTAACTTTCCAGTGATCTAGCACCACTTTTGTGAGAATTACTTGCGGCCTTAGAGCAAGGAAGCAGTCGTCCTGGATCTAAGGGCGTGCGGAACTTGGAGAAGGAGGTCGAGGAACTTCAGCCCACGCCTCGGCGAAAGCCCTCCTACGAGCCGTGATGTAGACCAGGATGAGTAATCGAATTTCGTTGTAGCAGGACTCGATGAAAACTTCCAAAAGCAGGCTTCTGGGTGTCAAATGCGGGGGCAATAGTAGAAGGTGTCTTTGATTCGTGTTGACAGGAAAGTCGCTCCGCTTGGCAGCAATCAACTCCAGAAGACAGCCTTGATGCAATCACAATCAATCACATTTAGACGTAGGGAATACAGCAACTTCCAAGATTCCAATGCTTCTGCAACTCGAATGTGGCAGCATCGCAGGAAGGTTTCATGGTTCTCTCCGCAGCAGTCGGTGGTTGGACACGCCTGTAGCAGGCACATCCTTTGTGTCAGGAGGCATGAGCGGGAACTGCCTCGGCGACCGTGCTGAGACGCTGTTAGTGGCGGAAATTTGTGCCTCGATCAGAGCTGCCAAACGATGGCTGCATCTGTCTGTTGCAGTGGACAGAGCTCCGGTTTGCAGAAGACCAGCGCATTGGTGATCGGACATAAGTTGCATGATCCCATGTTTGACGGTGTGGGGGGCTCGGCCGTGCGCCTGCCTTCAGGCCAACAGCATGCACGCCAGCTGGATGGCTTTATCCGGTCATACCTTTGGTCGACAGTGGGGCTTTGCCTGCCTTTGACTCCTGGCCGTTCGCCGAAGAGGTAGGTGGCTGCCTTGGCCGTTCAGTTGGTCAGGTGTGTGGGTGTCTGGCAAGGCCTTCCAGCCAACCAGCTGCATTTGCTTCGCATGACACCGAAGCATGGTGGAGAGCAGACGGTCGCACCGGGACATGGGGCTGTTCCTGCGACGTCTGACCGCTTGCTGAAAAGATGGCGCTGGGTCTCACCGTTGGTTGGGTGTGGGACTGTGCACGGCCTTCCGGCCAACAGCATGCACAACCGCTAGAGTGGAATGCTTTGGTTTGCAGCAAGACCAGAGCACAGTCGTGAACAGTTGGCCGCCACTGGGTCACACTGTTGGTCGGGACTGAGGCTGCGTAACACCGAAGACTGGTGGAGAGCAGATGGCCGGCTTTGGGTCTCACCGTTGGTCAGAAGTGGGGCTTCTGGCCATGGGGTTAACAGATGGCCTGAGTCTCGCCGTTGGTCGGGTGTGGGGCTGTGCACGGCTTTCCGGCCAACAGCATGCAAGCCAACTGGAGTGGACAGCAGTTGGCCGCGCTGGTCGCACCGTTGGTCAGGAGTGGGGCTGTGCACGACCTTCCGGTCAGCAGCATGCCAGAAGACTGCGTTTGGTTGGCTGCTCCCTACAGCTTCTGGCCGCTAGCTGAACTGGGTCTCACCGTTGGCCGGGTGTGGGACTGTGCACAGCTTTCCGGTCAACAGCATGCAGGCAGACTGGTGAGCAGTCGTCCGCATTGGGTCTCACCGTTGGTCGGGTGTGGGACTGTGCACAGCCTTCCGGTCAACAGCATGCAGGCAGACTGGTGAACAGTTGGCCGCATTGGGTCGCACCGTTGGTCGGAAGTGGGCGTGGTTGTTGCGGGCCGCTGAGTGAACCCTGGCAAAAAACAAACACAGCGACGGGCAAGCTTGCAGGGTTTTGCACAGTATTTGGGCAATCAGAGCGCAAACTTCGCTCACACCATTGGTCTGGCTTGGACTACATGCAGCCTACCGGCAACAGCACGTTGCCAACTGAAAGTGTGGCTTGGATGGGCTACATGGAGGTCGACCGAGAATCGGGGTCATCGTTTGTTTAAGTTCGAGGACTGACACCGTCTAACAGCGACAAAAGTGCAATTGCAGCGAGCCGAGGGCATCGTGGCAACCAGCAAAGGACCACAAACACCATGACACGCTGACCTGATTCACTTGGCATCGGCTGGGCCGCACATTTAACCCAAACTCGGACAAGCATGCATCTGCAAATCCTAAGCCATCGCACACCTGTGGGCAAAGGCTTCTCACTTCACAAGTAAAGCTGTCATTTCGACATGTTGTGTCCAGTGTTCCACACTATGCCTCCAAGCTCATGAACCCATGCTTCAGCCCTGCAACCCAAACCACATACAACCCTATTACTTTGCATAAAGCCAAAAACCTCGAATCCCTTCATGCCCGCGGCTGTGCTAAACTTCTCGTCATGGGCCTCAAACTTAGCTCGTAAGCGCAAAATCCCGAAGACCGAATGCCCTGCAGCCTCGACACCTTGGAAGCACAGGCAACAGGTTGCGGAGAAAGAAGAGCTGCTGTCGGCAGCTTATGAAGCGAAGGCAGGACAGTACCGGGTCAGTACGTTGTTTTGGGGTTGATGGGCTAAGGATTTGTGTTCCTGTTTGGCGGTTGTTAGGTTTCCCTGTTTTCGAGGTTTTGTTGTTGGTCGGATGTGATTTTCCGGGCTTGATTACAGGCTTAAAGGCTTTCGCTTGCTTGAGTTTAAGTGCCCGCGCGGGAGCATGTGATTCTTCTATGGACCTGACGTGTTGCGCTTGTGCGTCACGTTGCACAAGACTCACTTCTAGCATCCACCGTGCCACCTTTGAAGTTGAATAGCCTCCGCCGCCAAACCCTGAACCAACCTCTACCAAGAGACCTTCATTCGCAATGTCACCCTCCCACCCCTTCCCGTCGCAAACCCGACTTCTTTCTGCATCTTTCTGCAAGAGCCATGTGCCTGGAACTGCCTCTACCGAACCAAAGCTGCAAAGTGCATGATGAAAGTTTTTACCCTTACGCCGCGAGCGAATGAGAGGCTCTGACCGAAAAGGAGCGGGGCGAGGAGATCTCAGCCTTGAAAGAGGCGTGAGCACCATAAGAGCATTGTATATAGGGTTTGGCTTAAT